CGCCCCGGCCGGAGCCGCCATGTAACCGGCGCCGCCCGGAGCCCCAGCCGCGCGGGCCCCAGAGACCCGCCCGCCATGGGAGACGAAGATGAGGACGAGGGCTGCGCCGTGGAGTTGCAGATCACTGAAGGTGGGTGCGGGATCCCGAAGCGGCTGCCCCGGACGGGTGGCAAGAGTCAGCGACCCGCTGAGCTCATTCGCCCCCCTGTGCCCGCAGCCAACCTGACTGGGCATGAGGAGAAGGTGAGCGTGGAGAACTTCGCGCTGCTCAAGGTGCTGGGCACGGGAGGTGAGGAACCGCGTTCACTGAGCCAGTGCCCCTGGCATGGTGCTTTGGGCCTTCTGCCCGCTCACCCGCCTGGGCCTGGGCCTGGCTTTGGGGAGGTCCCCCCACCCTTTCCCGGCACAGCTCCCCTTTCCCGCCCCGCCCTACCGTACCAGGGTTCCATGCCCACTTGTAGGGCGTCCACGTTGGCATCACTTCTCTCTGCAAAGTCCTGTGCGTGCATGCCCCCCTGCCGCGATTTCCTCGTCTCTTTGGGGTTTGACTCCTTCCCAAGAGCTTTGTATAGCTTCTCCCCTTCTCCCCTTGAGAGCCCCACTCTTGTATTTTGCAAATCCCCCAGTCCGGGTTTGCACATCCCTCCGCTGTTTGGGAGCGCGCCTCTGCCTCCGGTGCCAGCCTTTTCCTCCTTTCTCAGCTCTCTGCTCATCCCAGGTTTGCACGTGCCCCGCCCCCTCTCCGCCCCGCAGGCCTTCTGGAGTTGCAAGCTCCCCAGGCTAGTTTGCACTGCACATTTCTTCTTAGGCTTAACTTAGCACCCTCCAGGGAGGTGCTCACCTTTTCCTTAGAAGGCTCTGTCAGCCTTTTGCACCCCTGCACCCCTCTTCCCACCAGTCTGCACCGCCCTCACATTTACAGCCCACCTTCCATCCGCTTGCTTGCTACTCCTACAGCCTATGGGAAGGTGTTCCTGGTGCGGAAGGCGGGTGGGCACGATGCGGGCAAGCTCTATGCCATGAAGGTGCTTCGCAAGGCGGCGTTGGTGCAGCGCGCCAAGACACAGGAGCATACCCGCACCGAACGCTCGGTGCTGGAGCTGGTGCGCCAGGCACCCTTCCTGGTTACACTGCACTACGCCTTCCAGACGGATGC